CCCGTGGCTGGCCCCCGCCAGGGTACGGAGGTGCTGCGGCTGACCCTCTGCCCCCTACCGCCGGCCCCTGCTTCCCATGTCACCCCTTGTCTCTCCTGGCTTTCTCCAGGCTGAGCTTCTTTCGGGACACTCCAGATTTCCGCGTCCTGGCCTGCGGAGGGGATGGCACAGTGGGCTGGATCCTAGACTGCATAGGTGAGCGAGGACCAGCCATGCTCCCACAGAGCAGCATCTGCCCGCATCCTCGGCAATCTGCCATGGATTCCTGATATTCCCCTGGCGAAAGCGGGGCCAACAACATTGCCCCCGGGCTCCCCCTCACCTGGGGTGCCAGCTAAGGCACATGGAGAGGAGCAGGGAATGAGCCCTTTCAGCCCCAAACCTCTCTTTCCCCTTGAACTGCAGACAAGGCGAACTTGGTGAAGCACCCGCCGGTGGCCATCCTGCCCCTGGGAACAGGCAATGACCTGGCCCGGTGCCTGCGCTGGGGAGGAGGTGAGGCCGGGCGAGCAGCGCCTGGGGGGCGGCTGGCCCGCAGGGACCATCCCGTGCAGCTCGGTGGGTGCCGTCCTGGGGGGAGGGAGATTCTCCAGGCTCTTGGGATGAGGCTCGGGGCTGCACCTCATCCCTGGCACCTCCAGATGGCGCCTCTAACTGCTTCCAAAAAAAGCAGCTGCTGCTTTCTAAACCCCCATCAGCCGGGTCCTGCCCAACAACCTTTTTAATCTGGGAGAGCCATGCCGTTAGCTGAAATCTCTGCCACTGCTGCAAGGATGAGCCGAGCATCTCGCTGGTGCTGTAGCAGCAGCCCCAGGCTGCCCTGGGTGCTCGGCACCCAACTGCCTCCAGCCCCATGTGACATGGCTGTGCTCCCCTTTGTCCTTCTTCATCCTACTCAGATGCCCACGTTCTTTCTCTTACAGGCTATGAAGGAGGCAATCTGATGAAGGTCCTAAAAGACATCGAGCACAGCACGGAGGTGATGCTGGACCGCTGGCAGATAGACATCATTCCCAGTGACAGAGGCGCCAACGGAGACCCTGTCCCATCCACCATCATCAATAACTACTTCTCCATTGGGGTGGTGAGTACTGTGGGGCACGGATGGGTCCTGAGGGCAGCCCAGAGCACAGCACACACATGTTATAGCTGAAGAGCGCAGCACAATGGAGGGCTAGTAATCAGTGCTCAGACTGTGCCATGCTCACTGGAGCCGCCCGGCCACGGCAAAGCGGAGGAAAGAGCTCTAGAGGCCAGGAGAGCATGGGAGCTGTCACCTGGGACCCTAGCACAGCCACAACCTCAAACCCACCTAGATCAGCAGATTCCCAGGAGCATTTCTCACTCAGTGGGTGGGAAATGCCTCGGCTGCCCTGAAGTCACTGGAGCAATCCAGCCCAGCGGGTGCACTTCAGGGATGCCAGCCCCCTACGCTTCCCTCCCTGTCTCCTCCTAGAGTCAACCTTAGCCCTCTTCTGAGCCAGCCCCAAGTTAATTCCCAGGAGCAGGGGCTGGTTCCTGGTGGCGTTCCTCAGAGACCATAAAAGCCTTTGTAAGTGTTTGGTGAAATTCTACATTTGAGCTTGAGCCTCCCAAGCCGGGGACTCTCCCACCCTGCTCTTCCTTGCTCAACCTCCCCCCGCCTCCTGGCATTGTTTCTCTGGTTTTATTCTCATTTGTAATGGCAGCACTTAAATGCATAAACAGGCATGGAATCTCTCTCTTCCCAACCGGGAATGTTGCAAGAGCAAGTGTGCAAGGAGCTTAAATGAGGTTCAGGGAAGTTTGGAGTCTTGGGGACGGGTTGAGATCTGCTGGACCCCCCACCTGAAGCTTTTGCCGAGATGGCACCCATTCGCAAAGCCATGCTTCGGTGCTTGGACCTGCGTTCCCCCATGTTTTCCTAACCCAGGGAGCATTAGGGAGCCCAGGGATGATGGCAGCCCCATGCCACGGGGGTCGATCCCAGGAGCAGCAGGGCTTTGGGGGAACAGCAAAGTGGAAAGCGCTTCTTTTCCCAGGCACTTGCAGCATTTTTGTCCTGGGTCATGGGTGCCCGAGCAGTACCACCATGGCATGGGTCACACACCCGGCAGCGCTGCGGGATGCTTCTGTTTTCACATCAGCTCCTGCTAACGCCAGGCAATGTCACTGCAGGTGGCATTTGGTGACAGCTTCCGAGTCGGGCTTAAACACCCCCCACCCCACATAGGAGAGTTTGCAATGAGAGAGCTGCCACCCTGCCAGGGGAGCTGTCAGGGTGCAGGGTCCTGGGGTGTCCCCAGAGCCCTGCTGCCCTGCTGGTAGCCCTTCCTCCCTCCCTCAGCATCATCTCCCTGCACAGCCCCTGTGATGAGGGAAGGAGGCCAAGCACACTAATTATGTCTTGCTTAACGAGCCCATTCAACGCTTTGCAAGCAGCCTGGCTGAGGGTGCCTCCATTGCCTTGTCACAGCCCCCGCACTGTGCCCCTTTGCCATGGGGGCTGGTGGTGAGGGCGAAGAGCTGAGCCCCCTTATCCTGGTGCGTGCCGGTGGGGCACAGAGGGGGGCTTTCTATTTCCTTGCTGTGCTGCCGACGTCTCTGCACTCCCTCTCCCCACAGGATGCCTCCATTGCCCACCGCTTCCACATCATGCGAGAAAAGCACCCTGAGAAATTCAACAGCAGGTAAGGGCTGCCTATGGTCCCCCCCCAAAGCTGGGTGCAGGGGGACACTCCGCCACTGCCATGCACCGCACTGAGGGGACATGCCAGAGCCTGCTCCCCTTCCACCGGGCTCCTCTCGCCCCTCTCCCCATGGGACTGGCAGCAGCCCCGAGGAGGCGGCGCAGTGTTCAGCCAACCTTAGGGGACAGGCAGGGGATGTGCCAGGCATGGCCAGGGGGCAGAGCCCAGGCATGGTGGGGGTCTGGGGTGCTCCTTCGAGCCCCGTGCAGCGTGGCAGGCTGCTCGAACTTGGCCGCGCACCCAATTACATTCATCCATGCTTTATGATTAGCACCGAATTCCAGGACCGGCAGGAGCAGGCCAGGCAGCAAGGGCAGGCCAGGCAGCAGGTGGCAGCTCGCTCCTGCTGTGCTTGGGGTGCATGGCAATGGCATGATGGCACTAGGAGCTGTGGCTTGTGACCCCCATCCCCATGTTCAGAAATACCTGCTAGAAAACCCCTGAATGGACCAAAGCGTCTGGCTCTGCTCTGAAATTCAGGTCCCCTCAGCTTACAGCTCCCCCTCGAAGCCTGGCACAGCAATTGATGCGGGGGATGAGCAGTGGTCAGGGGCTGCCTGGCAGGGTGCCGGGAGGGTGTTGAGGCAGGGTGCTGAGGTGGGGGACATCCCCTCCGTGGGGTACCCTGTCCCCAGCAGCCCTGTAGAGAGATGACAGCCCATGCTCAGCTCTGCTGAGAGCTGGTGGAGGCACCCTGTCCCATGCTAAGGGACCACTCAGCACCCGCATCTTTCCCCTCTGCAGGGTGTCAGAGCCAGGTCCGCCTGAGCCACCCTTTGTCCCACAGCATCTTGGGGGATGTCCCACATCCCTGGGGCTGTGATGCCAGTGGTCCCTCCCCACGATGGCTCATGTCTCTGTCAACGGCTCGTGTCCCTATCGCAATGGCTCCAGAAAGGCTCTGGCAGCCTATCCTGCCACCGGCTGGGCTGGGGGCGGCTGGGGTGAGGCACCGCTCCCAAGTGGGATGCTGACACATCTCTGTGCCCCAGGATGAAGAACAAGCTGTGGTACTTCGAATTCGGGACATCGGAGACCTTTGCGGCCACCTGCAAGAAGCTCCACGACTACATCGAGGTGGAGGTGAGTTTCCTGGGATGGTCCCTGGCTCCAGCCATGGCACAAAGGCTTTTTGGGAGATGTCACCCATGGGTCCCTCAGGCAGGCTTTTGGCTGTTCAGGGAGAGGGTGCCGTGGCAGCTTTGATCCCTTACGGCAGCAGGAGGATGCGGTGGCTGGCAGGACCTGCTCTTCCACTGTGTGGCACTTGCTGCAAAGCCGGCCAGCTGCAGGCAGAAGAATAGCCTTGCATTTTCCCCCCCCTTCCAGCTGTATTCAAGAGCGTGCCTGGAATATTCTCTCTGTAAACTCCGCGTCTGCTCCCAGCCCTTGTTGGATGACATGGAAACAGCCTTTAATTAGAGCGGGGAGGAGGGCCCGCGGTTGCTAAGAGCACTGTCATTTCTCCACTAGCGCTGGGGGGGTTTGGGCCGTGCTTTGCTGTAAACTTCCGCCTCTCCTTATCTCTGGATAAATGACCCTTTTATAACTTAGGCTTGAGGGTGAGGGGAAAAAAACATTGCTTGCTGCAAAGGGCTGGTGTGAGTTGGACCACGCAGTGGGCGCAGGGTCGCTGGCGGCAGGCAGAGAGCAGGCAGAGAGTGGGCAGAGCCCAGGGAGCTGGCAGTGCAGCGTGTGCGGCTGTGGGCAGAGGGACTTTGAAGCCTGTTTCTACACGGGGAGTTTCAGCCCTTCCCAAGGCCCAAAGAGGGTAGCTGTGCCCTCAGCAGCTGGTGGGAAGGGGCAGGAGCAGGGGCACGGCCATCTCACCCCCTTCACCAGCCGCACACCAGCGTCCCAGGGCGGATAAAAGTCCGTGCCTGTGAGATTCAATGCTGCCAGAGATGGGCGCGAGCTGCCTCCCGCTCCTTGCAAGGTGCCCCGTGCGCTCTCTGCCAAGTGTGCATCGGCACTGGCTGCGCCATGCCGGCAGGAAAGCGTTAATCCTACAGTATTTGAAGTTGAAAGCAGCAGCCTGTCCTCCCTCCAGCTCCCAGGCAACTGTTAGCCTTGCAGAGAAATGGCAGTTTTGTTTTGGAAATTGGCACTCGTTCCCCTACAGCTCCTGGAAATGAATTTGCTTTTTCCCCAGCTGCAAATTTCTACTTCCAGCATCGCTGCCAGCGCCCAGTCAGCTGCCCCTGCTCAAAGAGCCCATTGTAGCTTGCTGGCACACTAACAGGGGAGGGCTACGCAGGGAGAAATGGCTCCCTGCACATGTGTGCGTGGGCAGGCATGGGCAGCAGTGGTCCTGCCCACCCCGCACGCCCCTGGGCAGGAACGGACTCCCACAGCATCCCCAGAAATCCCACAGCCCAGGCAGCCCCAGGCAGCCGACTTGCTCCCATCCCACCGCAGCGGGGTCGGTACCTGCCACCTCGCGGGCAGGCAGGAAAGATGCTTGTGGTCAGGGGCGATGCTGGGCTCGGCCAGGCATGGGATGTTTTGTCCATCCGTCGAGGAATCGGAGCCTTCTCACCGCGGTATCTGCTGCTCAGAGTGTTAGGGTCTTTTCTGTTCCTACCAATCATAATACCATTAAGATGTATGGAGAATGAAAGGATTTACATCCTTTACAAGCCTCGGAGAGACAGCTCTTCACTCCCAAACCAGAAGACTCCTGCCTTTTGCTTTCAACACAAGGCTAAAAATAAGATCTCAGAGCATCAGAGGAGGCAGAGCATACAGAGATGCTTGCTCATGTGCGCGCCCAGCTCCATGTATATGCAGCCGGTGTGCTCAGCGCTTACTGACAGGGTATTAAAAATAAGCTCGAGACCTTCACTCTTTGCTAGAGGAAAACAACTGGAGTCAAAGCAGCAGCGGGGGTTCATCAGCCCATTTGCATTCCTCTCAGCAAAGCAAGAGAGGGCAGAAATGCCGTCGCATCACCAAAATGCAAGGAAAAAAATGTGCCGGTATTTGCTGAAGCATAACATGGCAGGTAGAAAGCAGATGCGTAAAGGAAAATACAAACACTCTAGAGAAAATACAGTTGAATGGGAAAGCAGCTGCTTCCTCCAGAGGTATCTAGAAAGGGGATCCAGCGTCATCTGGGTAGCATGAGAGTGAGAAGACCTGAAGTTAAGAAATGCATTTCCATGGCTGCTGCTTCCAGTCTTGTGGGAAAGCCGCAGGCAACAGATATTTTACCTTTTACAGGGAATTTTCAGCTGGGCAGTCCTGCTGCGACAGCGAAGCCCAGGATACCAGTTCTGTGCGCTGCCTTGCAGTTTTCTTTCCAAAAAATGACATTTTTTCCTCTGACACCTTTCCTGTAATTTCCTTCCAGCCTCATTTCTAGTTTCCAAATTGCACTTGAAAAACAAACTGGTTTGAGTTAGTTTTTGGGCAGCCAAACTTCCTGATTCTTTGGTGTCAATTTGAACAAGGGGAGGTGGGGAAGTGTGTGCTGGAGATGCTCGGATGGAGGTTGCTGCAGGGCCAAGGTGGTGTTGCATCCTATTTTGGGTTGCCGCATTGAGCCTGCCTGAGGTTTTATGTGCTCCCATAGGAAATTCGCTTTTCAAAACTGCCATCTCGAATGTGTAGTAAAATTCATATCGAAATAGAGGGGAAAGCAGCACAAGAAAAGGGAGGTGGTGGTTGTCAGCCCTAGAAAAGCAAAGCTAGGAGGTATTTGCACCTCCAGCCCCAGCCGCCCCAGGGCTGCCCATGCCACCCTGGGGCAGGTTTGCTCTGGGGACCGTCCGGTGGCACACCATGCTCGGGGAGCCCCACTCCTTCTGTGGGCAGGCAGGGAGAGGAGGCTGGGCTCCACGGTGCCAGGCACCAGCTCCCCCCAAACCTGCAGCCTGACGCTGCCCATGTGCCTGGCAGTGTGATGGGACCCTGCTAGACCTGAGCAACACGTCCCTGGAGGGCATCGCCGTTCTCAACATCCCCAGCATGTATGGCGGCTCCAACCTCTGGGGTGAGACCAAGAAGCAGCGCGGTTACAACCGACTGGGGAAGAAAGCACCAGAGAAGCTGCACGCCATGGTGGTCACTGACACCAAGGAGCTCAAGTTCTGCGTGCAGGGTAAGCAGCGGGGCCTGGCAGTGATCGGGGTTTGTGGCATGCATGGGGTCAGCGGGGTTAGCACAGGGGAGCTGGGCAGCCGCCAGCTCTGGCCGCAGCTCAGTGCACATGGTGCTGGAGCAACAGCACTGGAGGGGTTGCTATCGACTCGCTGTCTTTTGGGGTGCTGGGGTGACCCCAAGAATGATCTGCCAAGATGGCGAAGGAAGATGGCTCTGCCTGCCTGGGTATGGCCCAGCACCACGTTTCTCAGGACTGGTTATGCTGTGCCATGGTGGCCAGAGAGGAGGTGGCTCCCACGCCCTGGCAGCCACCTCTCCCTGCACCCTTCGGGGATCATGGCTTGGGGGGTGCCCGGATGGGACCTGTCACCTGTGGGCATGCGGCTGGGAGCCCCCAGCGCCTCGTGGAGCTGGCAGGCAGCCGCTGCAGGGCCGGGCGCCCGCTGCTGCAGAGGAGGAGTCGGAAGACGAGCTGCAGAGCTGGCACTGATGGCTTTTGTAAGCTTCTTCCCAGGCTCCGCCGCAGTGCTGCCAACCTAGCTGGAGGGTTTTGGGAACAGCATGGTACCTGTGCTATGCCCCAGCTGGAAGCTCGCACCCACTGCTGCGGCCACCGGAGCCATCCCTGCGGACATGGTGCAGGCAGCCCAAAGTTCTGGCAGGGTTCCCCATCAGGGAGCAGTGGGTTAGAAAGCAGCCAGCAGAATAGGCAAAGTGCCCATATGTTCCACCTGGCACCTCCCACAGCCCGGGGCTGGGAAACGGCCCCCTTGCTGCGTGGCTGCCAGGACGGCGGTGTCACCGGCCATCCTAGGCTGTCACTGACTGTCCCTCACCGGGCAGGCTCATGGGAACAGGAAGCAGGGCAGAGCAAAGGCCAGTTTCAAAGGTAGTGAGAGGCAGCGGGGTTGTTCCCCTGGGCACATCCCTACTTGCAGGTGGGCAGGAGGGTGTGGGGGGGCTCAGGGGGCTTCTCCTGTGGGGGGTTCCACCAGAGGTGAAAGAGGACCCTGAAGGGAATGAGATACAGTGAGTTGCCCCGGTGTCAGGCGCCTTTGCTGGCGGCCCAGAAGAGCAGGAGGAGCTGGAAAAAGGAGCGATGCCCTGGGATTTGAGCAGATCCCTCCCAGGGAGGATTCCCCCATGCATCCTAGCTCCCAGGGGGCCACAGCACCCCAGGACACCCAAGGGGGAGTGGGGTTCTGCCACCATTTCATACAACACTGCAAACAAGCAGTCAAAGAGCTGGTGGGGATCTGGCTGCCACCCTGCAGCCCTGCAGGACTGGGTGCTGTTTCAGATAGGGAGTATTTTTGCTCCAGAGATTTTGGACAGCAGTGTTGCCCAATGCTGCAAATGCCCAGCTTAGCAACCTTGAGGCACAGGGGACATCGTGATGCATCCCCATCGTACCACCAGCCCCACTGTGCTGGCCCTGATGTTTCAGATGATGGTGGAAGGCAGGGGGTCCCCCGGGACAGGGGGACCGATTCAGATCCCTCTCTCTTGTAGACCTCAGCGACCACCTCCTGGAGGTGGTGGGGCTGGAGGGCGCGATGGAGATGGGGCAGATCTATACGGGGCTGAAGAGTGCTGGGAAGAGACTGGCCCAGTGTTCGTCCGTCACCATCAGGTATTTGTCCCCATCCCAGCTGAGCGCCCAACCAATGGCAAAAGCTGGTGCCTGTGTCACCCTGTGTTCCCTCTCTTTGTGCCTTGCAGGACATCCAAGCTGCTGCCCATGCAGGTGGACGGGGAGCCCTGGATGCAGCCGTCCTGCACCGTGAGTCCCTGGGGAGGGGGCAGCTCTGCCATGGGCAGCAGGGGTGGGCAGGGGCTGGCAGCACAGCAGGACAGGGCAGGCAGGAGCTGGCAGCATGGCGGGATAGGGCAGGCAGGGGCTGGCAGCAGGGTGGGCAGCCTCGGCTCCCTGTGCAGCGTGGCAAAGCCTCTGGAGTTGGAGGGATGCTCCTGCACTTGCTGGTGAGTGGTTGCAGAGCCCAGCCACCTGTGACTTCTGTCTGCACCCATGCCAGCCCCAAGCTCATGGAAAGCCATCGTGGGAGCTGTGGGGACAGGGACATGCTTGTCCCCTGCCAGGCAGGTGGGCACAGCAGCATCCCTTCCCGGGGGGTGCTGCAGTGGGGTCCCCCACCATCCAGCAGGCAGCTTGCCTGGAGGAGAAATCCTCTGCCTGTCCCAGTGCTGCCTGGACACCATTCCGGAGCTGTTGCTCCCATGCAGCAAACCGTTTAACGACCCAGCAGGGGGGTGGCAGTGGCTCCTCGCCCAATGCTGGGTGCTGAGCTGCTACTGGCTTGCTAGGGTAACTCCCCAGGGTCCCTGGGCTGGGGGATGCCCAGGGGGGCTCAGGGCCTGGGAGCCCCTCACTGAGCTCCCTTACTGAGCTTGGTTCTTCACTTCTTTTTAGGTCAAAATTACACATAAAAGCCAAGTGCCAATGCTGCTGGGCCCCCCCCAGAAGAGCAGCTTCTTTTTCCTGAAGAGGAGAAACCTAACTCGAGATTAAACAGCGTGCAAGGAACCATGGCCCAGAGGCACCTGGCGTCCCAGACACCCGCCTGCTGCAGGGGGTCCCCAAATCCCCATTCTGTGGCAGGGAGAGAAAACACACACCCCCCAAGCCCAGCGGGGATGATTTGTCCTGGGAAGGTGTTGGAGGCTCCTTCCTAATCACCACAAGCATCTTCTCCAGCCGGGATGGAAGCAGTGGGCGAAGGCAGGCCAACGTGCGGGGAGCGTGTTCACCAGAGCAGCACTCGGACTGGGTTTTTTTTCCCTTTATTTAAATACCCCCCCACCCTCCCCGGCAGAGCTGCAAATGAACGTGCTCCAGAAAAAATGCCAAGCTTCACTTATTTATTTTTAATCCTCTTGAAGGACACTCGATGTTTTGCTGTACTGGCTTTCTGTCCACCAACCCTTGCACATTGGAGAAGTTATTTATTTTCTTAGCCTAGAGGAGACGGTCTTTGCCATGCCTTCGGCTAGCACTTCAGGACAGGTTTTAAGCCTTCGCTGCCAGCCCTGGGAGCCGTGAGGCATGGGACAGGCTGGGGACAGATGGTGCCTGGGCTGCGGGGACAAGCACAGGGTGGACGGGAGGAGGCTGTGTTTTGACATGGAAACGGCAAAAGGATTTTGGGAGGAGCTGCTGACCCTGGGAAACCCCAGTGCCCTGGCTCTGAGCTTCGTGTTTGTATTTATGTATTTATTTAGCAAACTTGGGGGGGGCTTTGGGGGTCACCTTTTTATGAGCCCGGGTTGGACACGAACACCACCTCACTTGTCTGCTGGCTGTCCCCCCAGCTCCACCCACAGCACCTCCTTCTACATGGACTTTCCTCTCTCCTAAAGCCTGCAGCCTCTGCCAGGGGCTGGGGACCCTGGGGGCAGACATCCAGAAGCTCTTCTTGTTTGGAATTGTCCCCGCTGCCTTCTTACATGTCTCCCCATGTGCTTCGCCAGGCCCATGCTCTCCCGGCAGCATCCGTTGCTGCCTCTGATGCTCCTGGATGGCTGCAAGGAGCAAGGGGAGCCACTGCACCTGGGTTTCCACATGGCCAGGTCTCCCCCCAACCCACCCGGAAGCCGAGGAGCTTCGCAGATGCTGCTGCCAGCCCCCTGCCTGCATGGGTGCCCGCTGCTCACCGTCTGGCCACTCCTTTTGTCCTCACCCAGCCAGCTGCCAGAGCCCGGCCGGGATGCATGGGCAGGTTTCAGTGGCATCACCCATGTGTCCTCCCACCAGGCGCGTGGGGACAGACTGCGGGACGCAGCTTCTACCCAGGATGCGACAGGGACCAGAAAACGGACGAATGGACAGAGGAGGCGGTGGCCTGGATGTACACCCCGCTTCATGGTGCTCCCAGGAGCCGGGAGTTGGCAGGACTGGCCCACGGAAAGGGCTGCTGGTTGCTTCTGCAGGCACCCACTGCCTCCTGCGGTGGCCCTGCATGGAGGGATGCCCAGCTCCCGAATCAGCCCCTGCTCCCAGGCAGCTCCCTCGGGTCTGGCGGAGGCCCCTGTGCCGCTGTGAGCAAGCCCTGTGGAGCGTTGCTGTGGAGCGGCATGTGCCCTGTGGATGTTGCTGCAGGCAGGAAAACTGCAGTTTGTTCCCGCTATGCCCCTGCCGCAGGGCAGGGAGCCCCGGCTGGGACAAGCCACCCTGTCCTCCCTGGTGACCCAGCACCCAGTCCCTGCTCATGCTGCAGGTCCCCATTCAACAGCATCACCCTGGCAGTGCAGAGGGTGCTGCTGTCATTAAGTTTCAGAGTGAACAGTGAGCTGAAAGGGAGCTGTTCGTCACCCTCCCGGGGCAGGGACAGTGCTGTTGTGTGCCCATTCAAGCTTTAGCTCAGGACCATTTCTGACAGTGGCTGTAGGGCCCTGCTGACACAGGAGGAGTTGGCAGCGCCCCAGGGGAGCCCCAGCTGGCCTCCAGCCCATGAGTCCCCTCAGCTAGGGTGCAGGAGGAGGCTCCGGTGGGCTGCCATGGCTCCCTCTCGTCCTGCCCTCGGCACCAGCACTGGGCAGGGCAAGGGTGAGCTGGGGGGCAGGTGCTTGCTGCAGTGTAACACCCAGGGACGTGCTTGCAGGAGAGCACCAGTGGCAGCCGAGAATCCATGAGGAGAGGGCCCTGCGCCACGGAGCGAGCGGGAACGAGCACAGGCCCAGCCGGCGGGTGCAGAGGTCACTGCAGCTCGCCGGAGCTGTGACCTGCGTACACAGGCACGCTCCCGCAGTGCATAAATTCACCCTCCTCCTCCTCCTCGTCACCCAGGGCAGCCGTTAATGAGTAGCCAGGTGATGCTTTCATATGGGAGCTAGGCCAAATAAACCCCGGATCCCATGAACCAGCAGCCTCCATTTCCCCAGCCCGTCCCTGACGGCAGCTGTGCTTCGCAGCCCCCGCACTTGGGGGGGGTGAAAGAAAAAAACCTCAACCATCTCCAGAGCTTTGCTGGCAGGCGGGGTGATGAGTTTGATCCATGGGATGACAACACATGAGGTCAGCAGCTTTTATAGCAGCAGGTTTGGCTCTGTTTCCCTGCCCGCTCGGCCTCGACCTGGGGTTTTATCCCAGGGCTCCGATTAGAAACTGCCTGTATGGAATCAGCGATGGTTTTCACTGCAGACCTGCTCCTTGCACCTAGTCACGGTTTGCTGGGCTCTGGGCAAAGAGCAGCACTCGGGTCTCTCTGCTGTGGTTTGCCACAGCACTCGGGTCTCTCTGTGGTGGTGGTGGAGCCGGGGGAAGCAAGCAGGCACCGTGCCCATGCCCGCACCCATGGGTCTGGCAGCACGCCGGGGGCAAGAAGCGCTCATTTGAGCTCAAAGCCGGGGGGGAGCACTCAGACACGTGTCCTGCAGGCCATGGGGAGCCGAGGGCCACCACCCTGGGCCAGCAGGATGATGACACACCCACACCGGTCTGCCAAGAGTGATGGGCTCTGATAGAGACATCCCCTTGTGATGATCAGTGAGACGGTCCCTGCCACCTCCCCCAGGGGACGCAGCTTCTATCCGCTCCCGCCATGTCAAAGCCATGGTTCAACTGGCCTGGCAGCTAACGACCTCCTTAGTCCAATGGTGCAAATGTCTCCAGCCCAGGAGGGGACCCGCAGGGGCTGGGACGCCAGCCCAGCTGTCCCCAACTCCAGGAAGGAATACTCCACGCAGCCAAAGGGCACTCGAGGCTCTGAAACCCCTCATCCCCCTTGGTGTCTCCTGGCTCAGCTCTGTTCATTCCCCAAAGCCTGCGGGATGGAGCAGGAGCCCCCAAACACCCTCCCCAGCCCCAGGCACTGGTGCCAGTGCACGAGCACCCCACTGAGCCGGTGCCGTGCTGGGGGACCCCCAAGAGCTGAAGAACCCCATTCCCATGGGAGCCCCCTCCCGGAGCCAGCCCCATCCTCCTGCTGTGTGTGTAGCCATGGTTGCCTGCATGGAAATGGTGTCTGTAGTGTAGCGCGTGTTGCCATGTACACCTGGACTGCTGTGGGCTTGCCTCAAATAAAGATGGTGGTGAAATACTCGGCTGGTCCTGGGGTGCACCAGGGTTCCCCAATTCCCAGCCATGCGCAGGGTCCCCACCTTTGGGGACTCCAATGGGAGGTGCTCAGTTTGGGGCACTGGGGCTGAAGGGGCGTTGTCAGCGGCAGCGCAATGGAGCAGCACTCGACAGGAGCTGCAACTGGCTAAATATGGAGCCTGCAATTTTTTTTTTTTTTTCCCCTGAGTGGGCTCTAAATTTAGCAGGCGCCAGTCGCCATCCCCCCTTCCCAGCCCTGGCTCTCCAGGGACTTTGGCTTTTCTCAGGGCACCCCTGCAGCCACCCACCCACCTGCCCCACAGCTGCGCTCAGCCCCCATTATCTCTCCCTGCTCCAGGTGGCAGCAAGAGGTCCCAGGGGTGCTGAGCAGCCCGTGACCGGTGCAGGGCCGCGGCTGCCTTGGATTGCCGGTTGTGCCCAGCTCTGTGATGACCTAGCTCATCCCCAGCAGCTCGCCTTGCTCCCCGGCCCAGGTTTTGCCACCTGCCTACCCGTGTGTCATCTGCTAATTTTACCAGCAGTGATTTAATCCTGCTTGCCTTCTTGCAGAGGGGTAGTGAGAGCGCCAGCGCCTGCAGAGCCCCCCGGGAATGTTCTCCTGGTGGCAAGGACACCCTGTATCCTCTGAGTGATCCCACCTCCCAGCATGCAGGCACCCGGCAGGCGGCGTATCATGGCAGCCCCCCCCCCATTTCACCCAGGACACAATGGTCCCCCCCGCCATTACCAGCATCATCCCTGAGGGATGGTGGTGGCCCTGGAAGACTCTGAAAGCCCATCAGTACCCCAACATCGACAGAGAAATTCCTACCAGCAGCCCAGAGACATGCTGGGCAGCTCTCCCAGCGCACCGGCAAGCCCATGACCTGAGGCTGAGGATTTCAAAATGATCAGGACAACCCCATACCAACAGGCTTCCTAACCTCTGGGCACCTTCCCAGGATACAAGCAGAAGGCTCCTCTCCTTCTCAAACTGAGAAGAGCAATATTTAACCAAGCACTATCCCTTGTTTTTCCCTTCTCCAGCAACAATTTCCCAGGCTCACTCCACAACGTGAGGCCTCCACACAGTTCATTTATCCCGTGCAACCTGCTGCGTCCTCCACGAGCAGCCGCTGGCAAGTCTCCATGGCGGGTCTCACGACCTTCGGTTACAGATGGGGAAACCGAGGCACTTAGCAGAGCAATGCCAGGGTGGGGGGCCTGGCAGGCCCCCAGCAGCGTGGCTCTGTCCTAAGCTCATTCCCAATCCTCTGAGCCATTTGCAGTCCTGCAAAGGCTTGTGTCCATGAACCCATTCGTGGGGGTCTGTGGCCAGGGCAGCCCCAGAGCCCCCACAAGTGGGAACTGTTTTCCCCATGGCCTCCTACAAAGAGCCCCTCTCAAAGGCAAACCCACCTCCAGGGTGTCTGCAGGGGAAAGGCTGCCAAAGCACTCAGGTGTGGGTTAGCACCGGGCTCGCAGCGGGCCCTGTGTGACACCGCCCTGCTGGTGTGAAATCGCCTCCCGAGAAAGCAGAGGGGACCCCATGGTGTGGAAGGCCCAAGGACCACTCCATCTCCTGAGCTTGCTGTGTGGTAGGTTCTTGGGCACGGCGTGGACGTCTCTCCCCCCGGATCCAGCCCCCTGGGCTGTCCCACCAACCTCCCAAGGCCGCCCGTTAGCCCCCCCAGCCCCCCTCCTGGAGAAGGCCGCGGCCCCCTTAAATCCCCCCCCTCCCCCACCCCCCCCCGCCAGCCTCTTCCCCTTTCTATTTTTTTATGAATGAAAAACGTTCTCGGCGGAGCCA